CTGTGACACTGGGATACAATGTAGAATGAACTCAGGGGGTATCGCCTTTAATTTTGTTGAATGCAAGTGTTTGTTATTGCAAAACAAGGTGTTTTGTGTAGATAGTTACAGACACTGAGCAAATAATGTATAATGTGTTAGACTCCTGAATCAAAAGTAGTTTGGTTTCAAATGAGAGGCGTTTTCGTTTCTTTGACTTTGATGATATACCAAAGAAATGCTGGAAATTTGTAGGAAAATAAGCTGAACTCTACCAAGCACAAGCTGTGCAAAAGGTCCGATTAGTTCAAATGCATGCCTGTGTCATCTAGCCTCTATAATATATGATAATATGGCGTATTGTTTGCTAAACAGTTTGTGTTGTCGTTGATTAGAGCCTAGTATATTTTATTGCAATTTTTGATTTCACAAACCAATGCGCAATTCAATACGTAGATTTAGAATATTCTGTCAAGTTATGATTGTAATATATTGATCAGTGGCCTGGTAAAAATGACTGTGCCGCGTTTGCCTCTACTGACGTTCCACTCCCGGGCCTTTGTATGCTCTTAACCCTATCCCTACGCCTGGGGTCATTTTGTACCCCGGGGTTGTATTCTTCACATTTTAGAATACTTCTGGTACGATCTCTTTGAAACTTTCAGTATTTCTGAGAAAAAAAATGAATTTTGACAGACTGCTATGCAAAGCGTACGGATCGGATTAACGAGTAAATTTCCTTTTTGGAAAGTGGGGGCACAGAGTTTCCCACGTCGTATGGATACGATAGTAGAACACGACGTAGGCCTACAGATAGGGTTAAACTATCTGAGCGTCGAGCCCCAGACACACACGGTCACACGTGTGCTGGTCGCAGGTCCAACTCCGACACACGCTAACCAAGAGTAAAACACGTGTGTGTTCCAACAACGAGTGTGTTGGTATGAAAGAAAATCCTTGATTGGTCACATAAGATAAAATATAAACAATAGGCTAAGCAAAAGCTAAGTGTAATAGTTCACGATGCAGGTGCCATCTTTGAATGGTTTTCGAGAATTATTGATAATGTTCGCTGCTGGAGAAAAATGAGGGAAGCCACCTTATTGAATCTGAGCTTGCTCATTCATGTGTTCATTGTCCGTGCTCATTCATGTGTTCATTGTCCGTGCTCATTCATGTGTTCATTGTCCGTGCTCATTCATGTGTTCATTGAATGCTATTTTGAATCTTTTTGATGAATGTTCAAAAACAGGAAATTCGTATTCTTTTGTTGAATCAACTTCCACTGAATTAAATCTTATGTTGTTGACAATAAAATGAAATGGATGCTTGTCGTTTTTGTTGTTTTTTAATGTTGGTGTTTTTTCTGGCTTTTTAAATGTTAGTGTCTTACGCCCTCATCAACACAATTTAGGTCATTTAGGAGGCGGGCTTCCCTCCCTGCCTGTCACTGTCAGGTCCGGCCTGTATGACGTACTCGGTGGGTTACTCTCTTGTGACGCCTCCAGTCTTCGGCACTTATATAACCTGCTTGTGTTGCAAGTGCCGTAAAACACTGACTGAAACAAAAAGGATCAACCTGTTCTGAAGAAAGAGATACAGCATTATCTCAGCTGACTGAAAGTCCAAGATGCTCGATAAAAATGTCAGATCGCCTCAGGCATTGAATTCGGGTCTTCTGTGTGGGAGAATCATTCACTCTCTCTCTTTCTCGCTCTTACAAGTTACTCGCAACCTCACTCTCACTTACTCGTTCTCTCTCAATTTGCTTTTTTCTCTCTCTCTCTCTCACTCTCTCTTTTACACACACACACACACACTTACTTATATACTTTCTCTCTCTTGCACACACTCTTACTCACTGTCTCTCTAAACCTAGTATTTCTCTCTCTGTCACTCACCCTCTCTTATTCGCTAACTTTCACTCATCTCTTTCTATCACCCAAACAGTAACACACGTTTTCTCTCTTCCTTTCACTCATTCTCTCTCTGTCTGTCTGTCTCTCTCTCTCTCTCTCTCTCTCTCATATACAAATTATATATATACAAACACACACTTTTTAATTCACCCACTCTCTCTCTCCCTCTCTCGTACACACACACACTTACTCACTCTCTGTCTCTCTCTCTCTCTCTCACACATACACACACATACTTACTCACTGTCTGTCTGTTTCTCTCTCTCTCTCTCTCT